TTGGAATCTATTTTTCCGTTAACCAGCTGTCGCCCCCCTAAGAACGACAACTCCCAAAAGTTGAAACTTGTGCGAACTGAGAACAAACGAGGTCTTACCTTTCAACGTGTGATTTGGTATGTAGGGTCACAATCGATTTCAAACATCTCCAACGCCAAGCCTCTTTTGCGGAATTGCAATAGGCTGGGTTAGAGGCTGTCACTGGGGCTAAATAATGTGAAAAGTGCGGCCCATGAGGGTCTTTTCCTGTACCATGAATCAAGTCTCTGCTTTCAAAAATAGCGAGAATACAGGAGTGTCTTCATCTTAAGTGTGTCACACTATATTTACCAGTTTTTGGTAAAACTGTCTCACAATTTTTTATCTGGCGTTCAACATAACAATCAACTGCCGGTTCGGTCGCATTACAAACTTGATGGATTTTTTGTTATGATCATACAATACCATAGAATCATATCGACACTCAATTTTATCGGGAATTCACGTGACAGATCGTAAAAACGCATTGCTGAGATTGCCAAAATTCGTTACCCCCTTTAGGTTTTACAATAATTTCAACGAATGCTTCACCAATGATGAATGTGACACTTTTCATTTCAGAATCAATACACTTGTTTTTTACATTTTGCATTCAAACAATAATTCAGCTTTTGAAGTGGGGCAGCCTCATTTTCTTTTACTATCATTGTAAACCATGCCCTGAAGAAAATAACACCGGCCGCCGCTGGTAGCCATGAATCAATTGTGTGATGACTGAGACCACGCCTAACTTAATGTTTGCCAGCGGCCGTTCCAGACGTGGCATTGCTTCGGGAATAATGTTACCGGCTTCGATGGAATTCCGGCGAAGTTTCTACCGCCTTTAATTACCATATATAAACGCAATCCACTCGCCTATCGAGATAGTCAAGGGGAGTCAAGTTTCGCAGACAGTGCGGTACAGAGCGAACTGATAGAGCGATAGACTTGAAGTTTTAGTAAAAGTGTTTTGTTGCGTGAATAGTGAAATAAAGTTGAGTTTGAATATCGAACAGTGTAGTCAATTGTTATTGATAAAGCCACGGGAAAAACATAACACTATCAAGAGAAACAAAAGAAGTAGATCACGAACTCATTTTATAATATTTCATGATAATGAAGAATTATTCATTTGAGATCCAACTTTGTTGAATAATTCGATCTTTTCATTTCTTATTATGATGAAATGTTGTTACATACATCACAAAATAAATCAAAGACATTGTATATTATACCGCATTTTTCTTCACATTTCCTGATTCGTAACTCCAAAAAGTTCTTTTCATGAACATGAAAGTTCACTAATGACTACTTCTAATTATCCCGTTGTATAGATAGCTTTTTATTGAAATATCCATCGCTCGTTGCGTTAAATCGACCGAAAACCGCGCGAATTATGATCAAAGTGGTTATTTATTGAGAGTTCTGAAAATTCCAAAGTTCATAAGTTGTTTGTTTGGGCATTTTTTTTGATATGCTCAGTATTTCATATAAAATTTGAGGCAATTAAAGTACCAAGTAAATTGATTTTTTTCAGTAAGTTGATGTTACCTGAACTATCTTGTCTGATTCAGTTATTAAGATAATTGACAAAATCTATGACTTGAAGCAGCCATATCCGTGACGTCATAGCTACTCACTAAACTGACTGGAATGGCGACAACATACAAAAGCGATGACCGCAAAAAAATGTGTGATATTGTGGTGATTGTAATGATATACAATGGAATGAAAAAAACTACTTCGGGTATGTTGGGCATATATTTTCAAAAATAAATAAACTTTTCAACATATACAAGTAATTCTTATAAACAATTCATCACACTACCCTTAGCCTAAAGTTTTTACAACTGTTTACTAAAATACTTCATAAATATGACATTTGCTTCTAATTACATCTTTTAGGCCTGAAACGAAACTTGAAAAAATCAGAAATTTTCTTCAATCGACTGTGGAACCGAAAGAAGTGGAAGATATATTCAGGAATTATTCATATATTGGTGTACTCCAGCATTACATATTGAAAATGTAACTTTGACTAAGAAACATACTAGCGCATTCGTCAATTATTGGGTTAAAAGACTCAAAAGAAATTACAAAAGTGAACCTCTTGATTACTTACTTGAACGATTATCAATGTCATATACCATTATTCTTATTGTACATACCTTTAAGTTGCCTTCAGTATCGCTCCAATATAATGTTTTAGTTCATGAAATATTTTGCAGTGAATTTATTAGATTTTGACAAAGAAATAGAATAATTTTACAATGAGTTAACCATTTAAAGACAGCTGACTGAGTATAGAATCCAAAAGAAATGAACTTTGAATGTTCAAGCCAGTCTCGAATATACCTACACAGTATGTTGAATGGACTGACGCCTATCAGAAAACAACTAATCCATTGGCTAATACCACGAACGGCGTTGAATTATATCCGAAAGGTGTCGGTGCAGGAATCTTCACAGAAAACTTCCTGCATATGCAATTGGCAATACAACTGAAAGAGTCGATCATCATCGACCTAAAGTCACTATTGACCTATGTCACTCTCTTGCACTGATGAGTGCCTAAGGAGCCCGAAACCGGTCTGCAAGTATGCCCATTCCAAAATTGAAGGTACAATAGTAAACATTCACACAACAATAGAGATGCCGAACTGTCAAGTTTTTTGACAGTTGTACAAATACAAAAATTTAATTTTTTTCCAGTGATTATAAAAGTCGTGAATTCTATGAGTTAATGATTGATCGGAATCTCCAGTGGTTCATATTATACATAATATTCTCGAAGTTTGACCATCATTACATTTCCGAACATTAGTTTGAATGAATATTTATATAATTTTAAAAACCAAACAACCATTAGGTTAGGTTAGGTTAGGTCTAAAGTGAGTAGGTCTTTTCGACCCTCTACCGAAACCCGCAGGAGTTCATTGTGGCTCACACCTATTCACACTCGTCCAAGTAAATCCAGCTTCTTAACGAAGCGAATTAGTTTGTATGATGAGTGATCTTTCAGGTCAGATAGTAAGAGTACGACTCCGTTGAACTTTAAAAACCTGATTCGGTGCCCAGCGGGGCAGGCACAAAGTATGTGCTCTGTTGTTCCATCATTTCCCAAACAGTGGCGACACACACTGTCTTTCGCCAGTCCCGAGTCTGTATGATAAGTCAAATGACAGTAACCTGTAAAAAGGCCTGTTAGACAACGTAGTTTATCCCTACTGTAGTCCAACAACTGTTTGATATCAAGCTTCGAAGGGTTTATAAACGCCATTAACTGACAAATATATTTTCTCAATATATGGTGTCCATTTCACATCTGTTTGAAGTTCCGCATCAAATTTTTTATTTTTGGTTCAACTTAAGATTGACTTTCTCCAAATGAACAACAATCAATTCTGTATCTCACATTTTGAGGAGAGTAATTTTTTCGGAACCTTTTCTTGGGAGGTCAAGTCAGTTTCAAACAGGTCAAGTTGAATAGGTGTAGAGAAAACTTTCTATGTTTTGAAGTAAGAACTATTCATATCGGTACATAATACAGGAAATAATTCAATTCAAGTTTATGGTGAATTGGAAAGTTAGACATACAAAATAATCTACATAGAGAAAGCTTACTCACCGTTGATTTCATATTGATGACATAATTCAATGATGAAGATTGAAAGTGGAACGTATATTTGAAGTTCTTCAGAAAAATGATTTTATAGAAATAATTTCAGAAGAACAGATCTACTTCACTGGCGAAAATCTTGATTTTTGATAGTGGGAATATTCCGAGATACTTTTCTCAATCGTCGAATAGGCCAAATTTCCTGGAAAGGCTGAAGATTAAACAGAAATTTTTTGTTGAGTCGTGGTACAAGATCGTACAATTTTTATTTTGTATAGTGTCGATTTTTGTGTGCGATATTCGTTTCAATTAATTCTTTTTAACGAATTGAAGAATCTAATTACGACGTTATAATAATAATACATTTTCTGAATATTTTCCATATCTCATTCATCTACCCTTTTCCCTTCGGTAATTATTAATATAGTATACCTCCGCCAAATAGTAGTATTCTCCAAAACACAATGTGGTCTTACGGACAGGGTCGCGGGACTCCTGGTCAGTGGCAGAAATAAGTAGGGTAAGGGAAACTAAAACCTCTAAAAGCCTTTGCAAAATATGCAACCGAGGACCAGCCTACCCAATCTAAGGTGTAAAGAATTGTGCCGACAGCTGAATGGGCGTAGGGTGATATGAGGTCACGAACGATCCCCTTGGGGAACTGGGCGAAACCTCATTATAATCAGCCTAGTAGGCTGCCTCTGCCACAGGTGATCAACTCTGTCCTTGCTACTCGTGGGAAAACACATGAATGAAACAAACACAAAAACAGAAACAAGAAAAACAAAAACCGATCCCGAAGCTGGACAGAAGTGCTCACCTTAATCTGAGGCGGTAACTGGGGATGAACAGAAATGTCCAGCCCAATCCACCGCTTGGAATGAGGCTGGACAGCAGATCACCTCGTGATGTAATACAAAAGTCAAGGCGTCAAGCTGCGCTGAGGCCAAAAGAAGAGAGCGATGGATGCAGGAGTGGCAGCAACTATAAGTACACCCTCCTCCTTCCCCACTCCACCTCCAACAGCAAGGACACTTTCTGCGGCGGGCTCCAAGAGCTCCGCCTTGAATGAAGGCAAGGAACCAGCTACCCCTGCAGTGGAAAACTCCTTCACTTGGGCACCTCCACGGAGGAAACCCCAAGAAAGTTGAAGAAGCCGCGCAACGACAGTAATGTTGCTGACCTTCCAAAACCTTCGCGGACGCCACCGTGAGACACCTCAAGGTTACCAAAAAGAGTGTGTGTTCGGTGAGTCTTGGCCTACATCTGTCAATACAAAGGAAATGTTTCCTAGTGACCGGTCCACCTACCTGGAAAGGACAGAAAGGACGATGACCTGGAGGACAACTCCTCGGGAGGATGTACAATGGGTCACATGTGGCCTAAGTGCTGTGGGTCTAAACTCATCCTCCCTACTCTACATAAACAGATTTTACACGAATCCAAAGAAACATGATTGGTTATCAATTTCTTTCGGATAATATGGAGCTGCAAGTGCTTCAGATGGAAATTCGATCTATCGAAAATCTGTTTGAATGAATAGATTTACAATCGGTAGAATCATTGAGATTTATGGGAAAGATGAATCAAGATTGATTCATCAAGAAGAGCAATTTCGAAACCTATATATTCAGCTAGACTTTGAAGTTTCCAAGAGAATTCAACCATTGAGTTCAAAAATAGTTTTGCGATGATCAGCAATTAATCCGTATGGAATGAGTTCGAGTTATCAATGCATTAGGATTTTTTTGAAAACAATCATACGCCTTTCATATTTAGATTCTATCAAAAAATTACTATTTCATGAATGCATTATTATATTCATTCTAGTTCGTTATGTTCATAAAAAGGTGATCTTCTGTACCCCTAGAAAAATGTATGAAGTTTTTTTTCTGAAAGATATCAAACAAACTATACTTTTGCTGTAAAATTTTAAATGATGGCAATTAATTTGAAACTTATAAAAGGCAACCCATTTTGTCAAATCGTAATTGAAATACATATCAACCTCACAAAGTTTGTATTTTGTGAAATTACGGTGAAAAAATATGCTATATGCTCTATGGCATAGAGTATATGAAATGAAGAATGAAATAAACAAAACGTGAAAAGTTCAAGTGATGATCGTCGAAAGGAAATAGGCTTCCAAGAGCTGTTTCAATTATATCAACAATTCAATGAATAAATAAATTCATTTACAGTTTGCAGAAATTCATAGAGGAGAAATAGACGAGCAAATTATATATAAATGAATGAATGCAAGGAAAAGCTCGACAGCGCTCGTTTTTTTACGAGAGAAATGTAAAATTCACACGATTCTCATTCTAAACTTAGCTGTAGTCTTCACTCTGAATGACGCTTATGAATTTCCAGTTCGGAGCCAAATATTTCATTTTGTCTTATTACCAACTGAATTTTATCAATATTTTCGTTCCTACCTCTTTGTAGTGGAAAATATCAGATTCAAAAAAAATTACTTGATTTGATTTTCAAATGAAATTATAGCTTCTATCTAAACTTCTTGAAAGAAACGTTCCATTGTCGATTGAAAATCTTGATCCTCAAATGAAAAAAATCCTCACTCTATTCTAAATCAAAGCGAAAACAAACTTTTCAGTCATTTAACATATATCTTCTGCAAAATATGATATGATATGTTTTATTTTGTATTGTTGCTAGCACTGATATAGTTTGGTCACTTCACTCAGCAATGATTGTTTGATAATTCGCGAGATATGGGTCGATCACTTTATCAAAATTTATTTGTTATTTGTTTTTACATGGCACACTTCACATTGTCTAATGCTGCCTCCAACTGTTCGCCTGGTAGTGGACGTCTTTGTACATGCTGGGGCACTGCTTGCCAATCTGAAACAAAATTCAGCTTGAATTTATCTTTTTAGCTAGAGTCGACTTTTCAGAACCAGATCTGACTGAAGAAGGCGAGAAGTTCAAAATAATTCGAACATATTTCAAGATCAAAATTAATATGTTCTTGAATCGAAATCACCTTCTGCAAGTCATGAAATGGAAAATGTATGACTGAACTTTTCAATGAAATTAAGTATTTGAAAAATTATATTTCCCAGAATTTTTCAGAAAAACTAATGAGTAGAACATAACATATATCTATTTATCACTATTAGATGTATTCAGGTCGTCAGTGATTTAACTTTTTTTAACAAGTTATATTAAATTTTGGGATATAAAGATTTTGGCTTCCTATTCCTCTATCTTGCCACTGCTTGCCAATCTAAAACAAAATTCAGCTTGAATTTATCTTTCTACCTGGAGTCGACTTTTCAGCACCAAAGGAGGCGATGAGTTCCAAATATTTCGAACATATTTCAAAATCAAAATTAATATGGTCTTGAATCGAAATCTTAAGAATATTCCGAACTATGAAAAATACATTCTGTTCCAAATCAGGTTGACCAAGCAGAAAACGTATAACTGAACATTTCAATGAAATTAAGTATTTGAAAAATTATATTTCCGAAAATTTTCCAGATGTAGATTAGATGTATTGTTGTGGAATTGGCCGCGGTGGTAGTGCGTCTGACTCACGATCGGAAAGTCGTGTGTTCGATTCCCGCCTCAACCATTTTTCTCGAGAGAATTTATCTGGTTGAGGCTGGAATGATTCTGCAACCGTGTTTGGAATCACACGTTAAAAGGTAAGACCTCGTTAGTCCTTAGCTCGCACAAGTTTCTCAACTTCTGAGAGTTGTCGTTCGTATGGGGGCAGCAGTTGATTAACGGAAAAACAGATTTTAAACAGATTTTTTTTTGAACAGATTCAGGTCGTCAGTGCATTACTTCTTTTCAACATATTATATTGAATTTTGGGATATAAAGGTTTTGGCTTTCTATTTCTCTACCTTGATACTTCAAGCGTTTATATGAAAGTATTTGTTCCGAAAGTATTTTCGTTTCGTGTAATTAGTTATTCACATGAAAATAGCTGTCTCGTGAGGGCTTTTTTTTTTCAGTTTGTGTCTGAAAGTTACTTCTTTGCATGATCTAGGTACACGTCTTTGTATAGAGTTAATTTTTAAAATTGATTGCCCTTTCTTTCTTTGAAAGATTCACACATTTTTTTGTATCAAGATGGAGATGTAGAAAGCACAAACTCTCCTTTTCCAAAAACTAATCCCTCCTAAAATTATACCCTTTCAATCACATTGAATGAACCGAATATCTATATTACCATGCAAAATGTTAACAAATCAAACATAGCATACAATTCATTGTATGTATACATTTTATTCATTTTGAAAGCAAATAGTAATAATTCGATCATCAAACTAATAGTTTCATACAATAATGATTTACAGTGCAAGATGAATCGATGAAATTTATGGAAACAATAATTTCAATTTTCTGCTGCAAACAAACAGGATTCTGTTTAAAGTTCAAGAGTCATGATAAAGGTATGGGAATAGGTATCTCCAATTGTACTGAATACATACACAAAGGTTTTTTTTTCTGATTGATTTGGCCGTTACTTGATGAAGATCGTAATTTCAAAAAATACACCTCACGATTTGATCTCCACAAACTTTATTTGAAAAATATATCACATGTTTCGCTAGCACGGTAGCTTTCTCAAGTGATTTGAGAAAGCTAATGTGCTAGCGAAACTTGTTGTGATATATTTTTCAAACAAAGTTTGTGGAGATCAAATCGTGAGGTGTAGTTTTTGAAAATACACAAAGGTCACAAAATTCTATATGAATGGCACAACAAGAATTGTTTAAGAGTGTTTTAACATGTTCATCAGTTTGCCATCGGTAGACATACTTGGAGGATCATTTTTTTTTTCGGTACCTTGGGAGCTGTCTGACTTATTTGTCCATTCAGTCCAAGTCTCCAGAAAACACTGCAGCATCTTGGCGTTATTGCGTTTATTATCCCATCTTCTCATGACACCCATTTCATCAGTCTCGTTTCCTGTACTAGTTTGTATAGGTTCTGTGTTGGATGTTCGTCATATTCTTCTGGACCTAATTTCGTACCTACATATATTGCCTGCCTCCTGTGATTCAGTGCCACACATTCGAATAAGATGTGTAGAGATGTTTTTATCCCTTCGTTGCATAATCTGCAGCTGAGGTCTTCGTTATACAGCCCCATTTTATTCAGGTGTCCTCTAAGCGACCAATGACCGGTTAGTAACCGTGTAATTATTCTGAGCCGATCCCTACTATATTGAAGTAGTTCTTCGGTTCTTTTCTGGGACGGTTCCCTAATGAAGGTTCCACTGTGTTTGTTGCCAGGTACTTTTGTACAGTACTCTTTGTGCTTCTTATCGGTTCCTAATCTGGTTTCGTATCGATGGTTTTGGTACCCCTAGAGCTGGTTCAGGACCTATATATGAAGTTGATAATCCACGTCTAGCGCTCTCATCAGCTTTATCATTACCTGTGATTCCTGAATGCCCTGGCACCCAGTACAAAGTTAATTTATTCCTGTTTGCAAGTTCATTCAGTTCTTTATGGCATTCCCATCGGGTTTGACGGAGCCCCTAGTGCGCTCTTGCTGTCTGTAAAAATATTGATCCGCTCATTTCTTTGAGGTCTCAATTTAATAAGCCTTGCACACTGCAAGACGGATGAGACGGATATGTATAGTCCTAATGGATAGTTGTAGTTTAAATTTCTATCCGCTCGGTATATTCCAGCTCCCGTTCCATGTTTGGTCTTCGATCCATCTGTATACCAGGTGTTTTTCCAAACATGTTTTCGGGATGACTAACGGTCTCCCACTCTTCACGGCTTATGATTTTGGCCGTGAAGTTTGTGTTAAAGGTGTACTTCGGTGTCATGTGGTCTGTGCACATATTCAATATGTGCTCCTCCACTTGTCCCGAAATTTCAGTTCGGTCCGATATTTTGTAGTTCGGTGAATTGGCCTATCCTGGCCTCCCCCATTATCACAAAATGTAAAGGAGGTTGATTCAGGAGTGTCTACAATAGCTGTTGTGGTAGTTCTCATTGCTTCCGTCATTCCCAAACATGCAAATCTTTGCACCATGCCTAGTTTGTTGATGGCGGTCGCGTGCTTCATATTTGGCCACCAGACCAGGGATGCGTATGTTATCATGGGTTTAACCACCATTGTGTATAGCCAATATACCATGTCTGGTTTTTGCCCCCATTAGGATCAATAATTATGAATGTAATAGAAGCCCTCAGAGGGAGGTTGATACTCCGCATTCGAAGAATGATTATTTTGTCGATATTGTTTATTGTCTCATTTCATCTCTTTCTGCAGTAAATTATGAAGCGACTGATTTCTTTAAAAATCTTGAAACGCCAGTCAACATCTTCGTATTCCCCACCACTTCCAGGGAATTAACGTCAAGTATTCAGTCTCTCAAGAATTCCAATTGTTTGGACTATTTTGAGCTCACGAATGATATAAGTGAATAATCAACCGTAGGTAGCAAAAATTTGCAAACAGGAACACTGGATGCCAGGGCATTTTGGAATCACAGGTAATGATAAAGCTGATGAATGCGCTAGACGCGAATCATCAACTCCATATATAGGTCCTGAACCAGCTCTAGGGGTACCAAAATCATTGACACGAAACCAGATTAGGACATGGAGCAATAGGAAGCTCACAGACTACTGGACAAAAGTACCTGGCAGCAAACACAGTAGAACCTTCATTTGGGAACCATCCGAGAAAAGAACCAAAGAACTACTTCAATATAGTAGGGATGGGCTCAGAATAATTACAGGGTTACTAACCGGTCATTGTCCGCTTAGAGGACACCTGAATGAAATGGGGCTGTATAACGGAGACCTCAGCTGCAGATTATGCAACGAAGGGATAAAAACAGCTCTACACTTCTTATGCGAATGTGAGGCACTGAATCACAGAAGGCAGGCAATATATGGACGTACGAAATTTGGTCCAGAAGAATATGACGAACATCCAACAAGGAACCTGTACAAACTAGTACAGGGAACGAGACTGACGAGATGGGTGTCATGAGAAGATGGGAGAATAAACGCAATAAGCCCAAGAGGCTGCAGTGTTTTCTGGAGACTTGGACTAAATAGACAAGTCAGACAGCTCTCAAGGTAGCGAAAAAAGCTTGTTTCAAAATATTTGTCCGTTTTTATGAATCCACTTTGAACTGTGATATTTCAGTGGATACTGATTAACTATTATCGAAATTAGCGCCATTTGAATCAGTGCCATTTTGCTAACGTAACACACGTCCATTGATTTCCTCTCTATAAAAATTATGTACCTACTCGGGATTCAATAAAGTCGACGAAGACCGTTTTTGTCTGGTTCTGAGAGGCCTGAAAGAGATGGTGAGTGGGCTTGATTCGTTCTATTTCAAGATGGTGATTTGTGAAAAGTGCGGAAACACATTGTCATGTAGTAGGATTGGACCTCTTCTTTTGATCGGTGCCGGCTGCAGCTGACTGACTAATCGATTTCCTCACAAAAAAGCTCATAACACTCTGCTATGATGGTTTGGACCGGTTTTAGAAAGTAATAGCGACAGCGTAATAGTAGTAGCGACAGCAGTAATAGTAACAGCGACACCAGTCGCTGATTACCATGAAGTAACCAAGGCCTCTTTTGGTGAATTTTTATCCTTGGAAAGTACCTGGGTGGCTCATCGGTGTTCAACCACTGTCCGGAATGTACCTTCAGAACGTGACGATTCAGATCGATCGAATCGTAGGATATTAAGTTTCGATTGACCTTGAGCTATTCGTTGAGCTATGTTTTTTCATCAGAAACTATATTTTTCGAGAGGAACTGCCATTTCAATAATTATGACGTTTAAAAACATTTTTTGAATCGTAAAAATTCTCAAGGCTTCCTTACAACTGAAAACGATTGAAACACGACTAAAGTTATGAATCTGGTGAACTGTGATTGGGTCCAAGATATGAGGATATCATTGCCTAAATTCCTCTGATATGTACCTGTACAGGTACCTAGCAGATGTATCTATGGTGTTAATGAAGATAAAATTGTATGTATATTCAGTTATACACCAGACGTGTCCAAGCCAGAGAACAACTTCATCAAGTTTGCACTCTACGCGGAAGACACAGCTCTACTGGCGAGATCCACCAGACATGCGCTAATCAACAGCTATTTCTAACAGCAAGCGGACAGATTAGAGGCTGGTACACCCGGAAGAATACGTCATCTTCAACGAACAAGAGATTCCGTGGACCAAAGAAACAAGGTACCTGGGAGTCACTCTCGACAGGAGACTGACGTTCAGGTCCCACATACGGTTGGTGAGAGCTGCCCGACAAAACCTATACCCATGAGAGAAACATGGGTCTCAATGTGAAACTGGTTCTCATCATGACCGTATTACTTACTTCCTATCATTCTGTATGCTTCCACTGCCTGGGGTCAGTGCAGCGACATACAGACGCAGTATCCAGACGTACATGAACGCTTGCTTACGAGCTGTCGTAAACGCCCCAAGATACATGCCAAACAGATACATCTACCGGGATCTGGACCTCTACATCCTTTACGTAGACGCTTACATAAGAGAGCACGCCGAAAACGTATTCGAATGAATACGAACAAATGCCAGTGTGTTCGTATGCGTGACCAAAAGACACTTTTCTCCGGTCACGATGAATAAAATCAATAGATCACGAAAGTGAAAGCACCTAAAGGCTGACTTTCGACCGCAGGAGGTCAGATGTCAATCTTGCTGAAGTGCCCATCGGCAGGTTGAGGTCCACTCTAAGTGGGAGTGGATGGACGAGATTGTAGCTCCTGCACACAGTTACCCTGTGGGGAAGAGGGCACTCAACCCGGGGGGGGGCATTGGGGCGTATATTTAATCAAATCTCTTTTTAAAGAAAAGCAATAATTTTCTGAACGTATGAAATAAAATCAGTTTCGTAGTACTTTCTTCTCATTAATAGAATATTAGATGGCATTTCATCAGAAGTTCAGATGGTTTTTATTATATCGAGCACTGCGTTGAGAATCATGAATGTTCAAAGAAAAGTTGAGTGGCAATAATTTTTTACGAAATGAAGAGAAAGACTCGAACTTTCTTCAAAAATTTTTTGTACAAATTTCCAGAAACTGATTCACAAGTATCTTCTTCATTGATTGAGATAAGTTCGAAGAATTTTCGATGGTCATCGATTGATGTATGCACATGTGTCCAAGATAAGAATAATCAGCATCGAAAAATCAGCAATCGTAAGAAATGCGCAGTCGCTTACATAGATACAAAATTGTCCATTCCAGAGATTTTTCAAATGACGTTTACAATCCGATATCTCATCAAATAATGCCAGAAAAAAAAATTGGAAATTTTCGAATTTCGATTCCTTTTTAATACCTTCGTAAGTAATAGGAATCTACCAAATTTTAATACGCCATACAAATGAGCTCTGAAATCGCGAAATGTTTTTCGATTCAACTGATGGTTTTTGATTTATTCCTTATCTGGGACGAACGGTACATACGAGGACGTCAAGTTACAGAAACATACAGGTATCATTATAAAGAGATGATTAGAAAGAGCATGTTCACAACTACTCAGATTCTTTCTATAACAAAATTCAATACGTTATGACCAATTTAAAAAACGAAACAATAAAGCAGTATGTGAAAAACCAACTTAATTTCATAGAAACTCATATGCGAATTGATAAATGTACTGAAAATAGAATATACAGAAAAAAATTAATAAAGTATCATCAAAACCTCATTTTTTTCTCGACTTTTCTCATGTGTTGAATTATTATAATTTGCGATATCCGTCGATGATCACTCTGTACTAGATCATAGAAAAACTGTGAAACGAAGAAACGATCGAAAGACATTTTCTGAGCATATCTCAATCCAATTCGAATATTTTCAGATCTACATGACCTACATTTATTTACAGATAAAGCAAATACTCACTTCGCCACGGTGCTTAACATTGAAGTCAATATTTGTCCGGACCGGTCTATGATGCAGTGGCTGCGGCGGTCTGAAATTGTTTCCTAAGGGCGCTTTGGGGTGTTTGGCATCCCCTTGCATTAGTCTTCGAAGACCGAGCATCTGTAATAAAAGAGAACCTTTATTGAATTTGATGGGAAATGCTCTTGTGGCCGGGGACTTTTTCCACTTTGACGCTTGCTGGTAATTTATTTTAGAGATACTTTCCACAGTTCGAAAGTATCATTCGCCATAAACGGCTGTAGACATTTTCATCAATTTTATTTCAACTTGGAATATTACAAGGTATGGAAGGTAGGAAAAAAATATGCTTTTCGCTGAATGGTCTCGGGCCTAACACATAGGTGGCGCTAGTCTTATTGCATTCACCGATTTTTTAGTTAGTTATTCTTCGAAAGAAAATTGATGAAACTTCATGATAGTCTATTCATTAGTTAGTGAGTTATTGTGTTAATCATGACACTACTTTTGTTATTTTCAAAACAATGGATCAAAAAAAATTCAGAGTTTTATTTTACACTGCTTCTTGATGGGAAAACTACCGTTCAAGTGAAGTAATGGCTTGAAAAGTGTTATTAAGACTGCGTCCCATCAGAAACAACAATTGATCATTGTTTTGCTGATACTGATGATGGAGAACGCAGTGGACGAGTGAGACAGTAACACCAGAGAATATAAAAAAATCCAAAAATCGTTTTGAATAATCGAAAAGTGAAGTTGCGTAAATTTGTTGACCTTGTAAAGATATCAAAAGAACGTGTTGGCTTTATATTTCATGGACATGTGACTATGATAAAGAACTATTCAAACTAGGTACCGCTAGTTTATTTATTTATCACACAAATAGGGATACAAATAGAATAAACCAAAAAAATATCCACATTTTACATATGAAAGATAGTGAGTAAACAAAATATAAATGCTGAATACATTACACTTTAAAGTAATGAATATTACCAAAAAACTAAATAAACAGTATATGAAGAACCGATAACTAACTATAAATAGAAATAGATTTCACATACTTTTTAAACTTAAGGAAAGGTAACCTCAGTTTTTCAATATCATTGCAATGAGTATTGAAGGATCTGACAATTCTGCATAAAGAAGAGTTTTTCCCTGAATTGGTTTTTCTAAATGGGGCTGCAAAGAGATCATGGTTTCGCAAGTTTCTGCAAGGTGTATTCAATGAAATTTGTGTTATCAACGTAGGACAATCGACACGTTCATTGAATAATTTGTACAGAATTAATATATCTGACATTTTTCTTCTATCTGTAAGAGACAACAAAGAATACGTTTTGTAAACTGGACGAAAATTTCCATTGATTATAGAAATGTCAGTTTTACGCGCCAATTATTTGATGAATTTATTTTGAATACTTTTAATTTTCTGTTGGTAAATCAAATATTGTGGACTTCAAACGACAGATGCAAAGTTCAAACGACTATGTACAGAAGAGTAATATAGATTAAGAAGAGTTTTTGCATTTCTGAAATGTCTTGTATTTCTTATAATGAAACCCAATAAACTATTACACATATTAACGGTCTTCTCAATGTGGGATTAAAAAATCATTTTGGAATCCATTATCACTCCCAAATCACGTACTTCATTAACTGTTTTGATTTCGTGATTTCCTGTTTGATATTGAAAAACAATGAGATTTCTATTTCTGGTGAAAGTTATTTTGTGACATTTATCGAGATTTAAGTATAAGCTACTATTGCCACAGATTTCTGCAAATGCTTCAAGATCATTTTGCAATCTCTCACAGTGCTGGATTTCTTTGATGGTTCAATAAATCTTGAGGTCATCGGCAAAAAGTTGGATTGTTGAAATACTTCAACAATATTGTTATTGAAAATTATAAAAAGTAATGGTCCCAAGTAACTCCCTGTGGTACACCTGATGTAATCACAAAAGGTTCTGCCTGGTAACCGTTAACATCCACAAATTGATGCCTTCCTGTAGTGTATGACGATATCCACACCAGAAGATGCTGATCTATCCCAATCTCCGCGAGTCTTTCAATGATCAAGTTGTGACTTATTTTACCGAAAGCTTTGCTGAAATCCGTATAGATCACATCCACTTGCATCTGATCATCCAAACTCTCCAACACATAATCTGTAAACTCGTTTAAATCAGTTTCGATAGATCTACAGGGGAAAAACCATGTTGATGTGCTATTATTTTATTTTGTGCATGATCTAAAATAATTCTATGCATAATTTCTTCAAACAATTTTCCGGGAATGTACAGTTTGCTGATAGGTCTATAATTCTTAACGTTACGCTTATCACCACTTTTGAGGAGTGGCATGAGGATGAAAGATTTCCACTTACTAGGAAATCTTCCTGTCTGTAGGGATAAATTATAGATGTGAAAAAGAGGTGGTATCAGGTTCTCTCTACATTTTTTTATAAATATCCCTGGTATGTCATCCGGACCAGGACACTTCCGTATGTTTATATCATTAATTGCTTCAGAAATTTGCTGTTCAGAAATGCTAACAGAGTAGTCAAGATTATCATTGATCATTGTACGATCATTTGCAAGCGGATCGTGAATATACAGTGTGTCCAAGATAAGGTTCCTAAGCATGGGAATCTCAGTACCTGTTGGAGATACAGCTTAGGTTAAATTAGGAAAAAGTTGTGTTCTTTAAAGCTTATTTACATGCCGTTTAGAAACTTGAAGAATTTTCATGGCCTGCTGAGATATTTGGGAAAAACGAGAATTTGACAATATCAATTTTATTTTTTTCTGACTTTATTTGAAAAGATATCAAAAAACGAATAACACTTTTTCATTGGCACTTTT